TTCGACTAGGGATATAGTCAAAGTTCTGATACATACTAGAGAACAAAAAATATTTTTAGTGAATGTTTAAAAATGATCTGCATCACTTATTCTATTGTTCTTAATATTCATCTAATTTTCTTTACGATCCTTAATTTTATCATTCATTCCACCAATTTTTACCAAATTATTTTGATCTATTTTGGCTAAACCATCTGATGATTGCTCCAGTCCTTCTTCTCCTTGAGGAATCGAAAATAAAAATTTATGTTTCCTCAAGCACATAATAAAGCACTTCTTACCGATGTAGCCAATTGATCTAAATGCATTGATAAGACTTTGGGCACTAAAGGAGATTGAATTTTTTCGAAAGATGAAGAAAAATAATGATTGCCTGTACATATATATGTATATATATGTACAGATAACCATTATTCTTCTTTAATTTTCTTCTCTGCCACATGACTTTTTTCCTTTCTTGCCTCTTCAGATTATTATTTATCGAGATAAACTTACTTCCTTTCACTTTATGTTTGTTCATGTTTTTGTCAATAAAAATTCTTCATTTAGTAGCTTCGTCAAATAAAGAACGTTTAAGTCGAATTATATTCATCTTCAGGTTTAGAACCAATATGTTGAAAAGATTATCCTATTTTTAATTTCAAAAATTCATTTTCTAATATAATTCTAGAAGAAAAACAAAAGAATAAGGTTAGTTCTTGTCAATTCTATTTTTTTGGTCCAAGTTTTATGATCTGATTGTCTTTTTGTTTTTCATAATAAGCTCCACAGATTGTAAATCATATATTATCTGTTACATCGCACAAATAATTGTAACTAAATGATCCATTATGTTGTATATGCAGTTATGAAAATAAACCTATATCAAACCAATAACAACAATATTATTAATACCAATGAATATATTTCGATATATTGAATACACATATTTTAAGATAGTGTTGAATGAACTTCATGGTCAACGCTGTCTGATAATGATATATGAGGATTTATAACATTTGAAACGAAAATACCTAAATCATAGAATCATTAGAATGACCAAATTATTCATTTTTTTCCGTAATGAAATCTAATGAAATGATTCACTTTAAAAATCAACTTGAATCCACCAAATTAGTTGTTGTGCCTCTTCGATTGTTAATAACAGAAGCCACCAATATATTATATGTCGATTAATTTATGTGCAGGTGTTTATACTTGTTTAAATGGTTATTCAGGTATACAATATCAATATGGTGGTTATCGATGTAGTTTTGGATCTTGTTTTAATAATGAAACATTTAATATAGTTAATACAGCATATCAATGTGCATATCAGACTGGTTCAACAGGTAATCGTTGTGAAGTTGGTATGGGTGTGGATCAATAAATGAGAACGCCCCCCCACACACACAAATCTAACTTCAAAACTCATATCTCTAAGCCTATTTTTATTGCTGATCATTGTGCGACGCATGCACTGAGCGATGTGAAAAAAAAGCGATTGTGAGATGTTAACTCACACTTTGAATGATATCGAGAATCACATAAAAGAACAATCAGAGGATGAAGAAGTGACTGAACGCTCTTTAGCTATGTTTCATAATTACACAGGTTCAATTAATAACTGGAAATGTTACCTGTTTCGTTCAGTAAGTCAAGATATGACTCGAGAACATTTTTTAAGTTCTGTGTCAGATGACGGAGTTTTTATTTACCTTATCTGAGCAATGAAATGGCTTCCTACGAAATATAGAGAACTGCAAGCATATTTCTTTAGAAAAAGGGCACTGTCGTGGCACATTCCAGTTGTCAATAAAAAACCTCAACATGAAGTTGCAAGTACCTCAACAGAGAGCTAGAGTGAAAATGAGATTTCGAGTAACAGAAAAGATTCAAAATATTCTAAGCCTAGTTTTGCTCAAAAAGTGTTTGTTCATGTGTTTGAGAGCTGCTTTCAAGAGTCTAGTGCAGTTTTATGTATTATTGAAAATTTATTGAAAGAAATTCATTCGACCGATCATGTGATTAAAAAACATTTCTTCGAAGTGATAATGCTAGCTGCTATCATAGTGCAGAGACTTTGTTTTCATTACAATATATGACAAAAAGAATCGAAATAGAGGTCGACAGGGTCAACTTTTCTGCTACACCACAGGATGATAAATCATCCATGATAGATTTGCAGCTGTATTGAAGTCAAATGTTAGAAGATATCTTAATGAGAAGAACGATGTAACTAATACTTCCGAATTTGTTAATGTATGTCGCTCAAACGGAGGAATAGTTGATGTAACAGTCACTGAATGTCGATTGGTTGTAGAATCGATTTCTGCTGTTTAATTTAGATTCCCCCAGTATCACTAATTATAACAATTTCAAGTTTGAAAAAGATGGTGTATTAGCTCACCGTTCTTTGAGTGAGGCTCTGGCAAATTTTTTCCTTTTAAGGTCTAAAGTTTGGTGAGAAAAACAATAAATTAGATAGTGAGCAACAGTCCAGCTTGATACATAAGTGGTTCAAGAAAAAAGAAGTGTTATCGGATCCAACGAAAACAATTAATATGACTAAATCAAAAGACAAAAAGAAAGAATCTAAGGCAGAGGCACCGGAGCCATTGAGACCCGTCAGGTTTGAGCCTCACTTGGTTTTCAGCAGATGAGGTTCAATCTCACTTGGTTTCGGACTGAATATTGTTACTTTTTATTCGCAGGATTTGTTATGTTAAGAATCTAACACATTCAGATACATATTCTCACATATATCTATGTTATAGTGTGATTCACTTATCTCGGATGTTTCTCTCTTTCATCTATTCTATTGTCGCACAGATGACACGTACGACATACATATATCTCATGTATCTTTTTTTTCTTTCCTTTTTTTAACTTGAATATGTCTCTTCTCTTCATGTTTTCAGGTACTTTCCCTCTTTTTTCATGTTTTCTTCACAAAGTGTTTGGCTTTTTCCTAGCTCGCTTATGTATATATAGCCACCATTTTGGGCAATAAAGGAGTAGTTCAGTATTGGTCTGATGGATCAATCACCATTTAACAATCTATTTAATAGCTGACAAACGTTCAACCATTCGTCAATTTTTCACGGTGAAAAAACAAACAAACAGATTCAACAGAAGATGTTGAACCAACTGCTGATTTATCTGAAATTTTCGAAAACTACTGATAATGTGACACCTCATGTCTATAGATAATACTAAATTTTCTGGAGAATGTGAGTGATGGTTAAGAGAAGAATTATGCCCAAACCCATACCCACACCATAACTTTTCAACCTGAATATCAAAGATCAAAATCAAAAAATATGCCTCCGAACGGGTTGGTCTATGACCTGACGAAGTCTCTCTCAATTATAAAACTAAAAGTAAAATACAGAGATTGCATATAGTGAAAATTCAAAAGGTACAATCAGTTTGAGAATCAAAAGTATTATATTATCTCTTAATAGTTTTGTATATGGGATAGAGATAAATTTTTGTTTTTTAGAAAATAAAGTAATAATAAATAAAAGACACATATTCAGAACAGTACAACATCAATGAAAACAAATGAATTATAAATTTATTTCAAGAAAATTGAGAAATTTCATAACAAAAGAAACACAAATATTTTTTTAATACATGAATGTCTTCCATATTCAATAATAAAATAGATAAATAAAAATAAAAATAAGAGTATTTGTTTATACTATGATGCATATGTCTTCATAGAATGAAATGGTAATCGATTCTTAACACAAGCCATTTATCGTCTTTTGTTTAATTGATCTTTCACAATCAACCTAGAAAAAGATGTATTTTAATCAATTAGACTATTTCTATTCAGATTTAGAAAATATCATCTAAAGATTGTTTCTTTAATTCACCATACATTGGATTGTTGTGAATGGCTCATCAGAAAAGAAGAGAAAAAAATATACATACATTAATAAAGCACATTTCTCACTATTCTTCATTTAATCACATCATTTTTCTTTCTTACATTAATTCCATCTATTTTTGCACATTAGAGCTCATAAACGTTTTTGCTAAATATTCTCTAAAAAATGAGCATGAGTACCATTTTAACTTCTCGTGCTTTTTAGTGCTCATGCTTACAAATCGTATCTGCTAGATGAATATAGTTACTACAATAGAAATCTACTTCTAAAGAGCGTGAAATTAATAAATATAATGTATATGCAATACAAAGTTGACGTGTGTGTAGGAATTTAATATATCACTGTGTGATATTATCGTGCAGAGTCCTCTGTTTTGACTTCTTTTCAATTGGTTAGAATTAGTCTATTGAAGATACAGCCGTCATTCATCTATTTGACTTTCTATGCAAATTCTTTTTTTTTAACTACATTTTGTTGCTCAAATGTTATGCAATCATGGCTAATCATTTTATGTCAGGTGAAAAAGATTAGCTATATATTTTTGTTGGCATGAAATATCTTTAACTGTTATTTTATATAGATACATCATTTTGGATCCGATTTCTTCATGATTCGAATTTATCAATTGATAATAATACTCTTTTACAATATGCCACCACATTAGCTGATCGATTTTCAACAATGGAAAATGTATCAGCTGCTGATGAGAATGAATTAATTAATCTTGGCATTACTAATCAACTTGATCGTGTCTGTCTAGTTAAACAACCTTGTGTTTTTGATGATAATAAAGTATGATGTCTAAATATGAATTCTAATATTATTGTATTATTTTATCTAGGAAAATTCTGTATTAACTCAACAATTTCATGGTAAATTAAAATGTATCAATAGAAAAAGAAATATATATTGAAAACTTTAGCTTCGAATCATATTCATGAAAATTGTCATGGTAATAATCAATCTACTCTATTACATCGAAAATCGAAATGTAATTTATCATCAACATTACTTTCTCGAATATCATTTCATAATCGTTAGTAAGACATTTCTTATATTAATTAATTAGTTTTCAATTTTTATTTAGATTCTTCTTATAACGAATTAACAAACGATAATGAAACATATCATTTTGAACATATAATTGAGGTTTATATGAAAGAACAGGATTCCATAAGAACTATTTTTGAGCCCTATTCAGTTTCTCTTCGTTTATGACCTGTTTGATGCAGAATTTCACGAGGAATCATTTTGTAATAAAAGAAAACTATTTCTTAAACATTCATACTAGAATCCTATGCGATCAAACTTCTCGTGTCCCAAGTCACGTTGATCGAGAGCCAGCTGACTGTACAAAATACGGTAGCCGAATCACTGCTCTCGTTCTCAGAACCTGAGTATCATATCGAATCGAAAAAGTGCTTGCTGAGATGGTTTTTTCGAAATTTGACTGCAATCGGGAGATAAAAATATGTGGAAAACGATAATTAACAGCTGTGAGTTTTCTTGTATAATCATATATGACTCAATCTGAAAAAGACCATTGATATTTCAAATGCTATATGACAATAGTTAGTTCACATTCATTATCTTCTAAGTTGTTAGCTGAATCAAGATAGGTGATCGCAACTGAACCTCATTATGATATCCTTCACGAAACTCATCCTGAAAAACTTTTTTCGAAATTCAGGATTGTAATTCATACCTATTTTCATAACAAAACATTTCAAACCGAAATTTATGTCAATCAACTGCCGATCCTATGGTTTATCTTTGGTAAAAATTTCAGCTTAAACGATTGAAGTACTGCTGAGTACTGATGTAATTATTGTTCCCAACGAGTATCACAATCATTTGCTTATTTCATCACTTCTAAATACTGTTTACTAAATATTTGTAGAAAGAAAAAAAAACATGAACTTTTGATCGATGCTGACAATTTGAGAGAAGGACTTCAACTCTTATGGATATGAAATTAGATTAAAGAACTGCAGTAAAATCCAATAACGTATGTGAAACCACCTTAAAAAACTGAGTCTTCTAGTATGTGTTTTGAAGTTTTGTATCGAACACTTTTTTTTTTGTCTTAAAAACCTTAGTTGCGATACTCCTCAGGCTTCAGTCAAAAAATTCATTGGACCAGTAAAAAACTAGTTCTGACCTTGTAGGGCATTACTAAGAGAAAAAAGAACATTATTAATTAAATTAATTTTTTGACTAAAGCCTTTGAAATACCTCAGAGAAATTTTTTTGAGAAAAAGTAAGTTCAAAACACACACCAGATGACTCAATTTGTTAAGGTACCTGGAAATTATTTGTTTTCACCTCAACTGTACTTTTTCTAATTGAAATCCGTTAACTAGCAATCTTGAATGTAAAAACAATGGTATCTAAGTAAAATTCAAGTTCTTGCATCCAACAAATTTCATCTCGGAAACATTTAAAAATTACATATTTTTGTTTCGAGTTAAAAATCGATCAAAAGCTCATACTATTTTTTTCCTTTCTTCAAATATTTAGCAAACAGCATGTATAAGTGATGACATAAGCAAATGATTGTGATGCTCGTTCGGATCAATTTTTATATCCGTACTCAGCAACATTTCAGTTATTCAAGCTGACATTGTCACCAAAGATAGACTGTAGAATCGACAAGTGATTGGCATCAATTTCAGCTTGAGGTCTATTGTCACCAGAAATTTGACATGTCTCACTCTCTTATCTATGAATCATCGATTATAATACAAAAGAGTATGCCAATATTTTGTTAGTGAACGATATCTCGTGAAATGTTGCATCAAACAAGTGATAAGTGAAAGGCAATTGAAGAAGGCTTAAAAATTGCTTTTATGTACCCATGTCCTTTATCTTGGTTTTTTTAATTTCATATTCGTCTGTTTTTTTCAAGATACCAGAAAGACTTGTGATAAATGATAATAATGAACAAATTCAAGCATTACTTGAATCGCATCATAAAAAAATTCTATCAACATCAAGTCATGGAATGCGACCAATAAAATTATTGTCTGGTAATTTGTAGCTTGTTTTATTTTTCGATCATATACATTTATTTAAATAGCTTCGATATCATTAAAAAAGAAGATTAGTGTTGGTACTGATCACCTTAAAAGACTTACTTTATCAAGATCATTATTTACTAGACAAACAGCATTAATAACAAAAAAGATATCAAATATAAACCATAAAATTAGAAATCCATTAAGGAAAATAAAAAATAAAAATGATTTGATGTTAAAACGAATACAAGAAATTGAAGAACAAGAACTGAAAAAACATCAACAAACACAGGTTTTAAGTTTCAATAATGAAATTCAACAAACAACTAACTTAACTTCTCATCAAGATGTAGACGAATCAAAACATCATGGTATGAAATTCTTTTTACTTTCGACTTTGAAGATTATGTCATACAAATCGATTTTGATTATTAGAGAAAATTTATTCTAGACGAATCTCTCTTTGATTTACTGTTAGTTGTATATTAACCCAAAAATGTTTATAAAATCACTGATTTATCATTGAATGAATCGAATCTTGAAAAGTTTAAGAGTCTTACTTCATAGAACTTGAACTAACACATTATGATATCAGTCTTCAAATGGAAACATTGCCTGCATTCATTTTATTAAAGCATAATTTCACATATTATTAGATAGAGAATTTTTTCTGTTACTCTTATAACGCGACTAAAGGTAATCATAAGGAGAAAAAATTAAATCCGAAATAATCAGTAGAGTTAAAAGGAAGCTAAAAAAAGATGCAAATTAGACTTTAGAATATAATTAACTAGAAGTTTGATTGGATAAAAATATTTCAATGCATACTAACTGCGTTGATAAAAACTTTAAATAATTGATAACTCCAATTAATATTACTCACTTCTTTCACTGACTCGATTCGAGTGAACTAGATTTTGTATAAATATTTTCGATCACGAAAACTCTTATGTTACAGATATATGTCGAGTTACTCTAAATAAGCTGAGAAGTTCAGTCGTATAGACCTTGGCTCCATTGACTTATTAATGAACAACAAGCTTTAGTAACGTAACACAATTCGAGATGATGGGAAAACAAAAAAGTCTTGCTCTGGTTTTTCTTCCAGTCTATCCTTTCATTATAAGATTATAGAGTTATTCGCTAATTATTTCTTAATTAATTAGTTAACTAATGAAGAAAATTCTTCAACTGTCCAATCACTTTCGAGTCTAGATTATGTATATTATGTAGACCCAAATGAGCTATGACTACTTTAAAAAGAGTTTGTACCCCTCAGCTTATTGCTGCTGAGATACTGCACTTTTATTGTATTCTTTTAATATTTGCCATGGTTCCCTTCAAGAATATCAGAAAAACTAATTTTCGAATTTCGACTTGAAACTTGATATAGAAATATTTCTTAGTGAAAATAGTTTTAGGTCTTTTAGTGCATTTCTATTCTGAAATAAGAATATCAAATCTGCTGGCTTATATGAGTAACCTAAAGACACACTGTTAGCACAGTTATATCTAAGGATAGGAATAGCAATAAGAACTGAAACATTCACAATAATCCTTATAAAGAATCAAAATCAAATTGAAAATGATCATACTGAATTTTTTCTGATTGTAATCTGATAAATTATAATTATATTTTAGTTCAACTTGTTCAAACATTAGTTAATAAACAATTCAAACTTGGTGCTACAACAACTTTTTTAACACGATCACTTGCTAATTATGATTATATGAAATAGAAGTTTTCTTTTTTTTAATTCAAAGTCTATTTAAATATTGTATAGTCTTTAAAACAAAAACTAATTAGTAATGTAAAGTTTTTCTTTCTCTAAAACTATCAGATTATTTTCTAGATTTGTTTTATTTTTATCTTCTCAAAAAACAAGAACTTTTCATGGCTGGTAAATTAATTATTTTGAATAATTTAAAAATACAAATAAAATACATAATTTAGAATCAGAAAAACCAACTGATAATAAAAACGAACAAATACAGGATGATAAAAAAAAACAAAAAGATGATGACGATAATGATGATGATGAAGAAAATGCAGTTTCAAAGTTACGACATTGTATGTGCATAAAAATAAAAATACATACATTTTTTCATATTATAATTCTTATTCTATTTAGTAATGAATAAATTTTCGGGTTTAATGGGCTCTCTAACTTCAGATGAATCAGTTGAAGAACCTATTTTGAAATCATTTGATTTAAAAGGTGCAGCTGAATATATGAGTAAATGTTCAAATATTATTATAATGGCTGGTGCTGGAATATCAACAAGTGCTGGTATACCAGATTTTCGTTCGCCAGGAACTGGACTTTATTCACAATTAGAAAAATATAACTTACCATTTCCAGAAGCTGTGTTTCATTTGGAATTTTTTCGAGTTTGTAAAAATATACAAAATGTTTCAAAAGTCACTATAGCAAAAAAAAGCTATTTGAATATCTCATTATGGTTCTATCAGATGAACTGTTTTTTTTTGTATTGATGATAGAGGATAATTCAAAGTTCTTAAATATTTCTACAAAATAGTACATCTGCATTCAATATATAATAAACTTCTTTTTCGAATTTCAAAAAAATAGTAAATATTGAAGAAAAACCCTAAATAATTTTTTTTCGAAAGTTAGAAAAGAAGTTTATTGTGTATTGATCTCAAATGTGCTTCTTTGTAGGATTATTAACCCTTTACCCCCCATAGCGGTTCCAGAAGAGCCACCGATGAAATAACTTTATGAATAGAGTATTAGCCTGTCAAATATGCCAATGGTGTGGCCTAATCCACAGAATGTCCTGTTCCTGGAGTAGGGCGGTTTGACTGATGTAAAAATCATGTGGTGGAAAATGGGAATTGAGCAATATCATAAGAGTTGATTCTTTTTCTTTGACCACATTATTGACTGGACAGAAGCAGCATCTATCTCATACTGTTGAACTGATAGGAGAAATGCAACGAGTAAAGCAATAAAATTAACATCAACGAATACATGCTTTTTTTACACCTATTGTCAAATTTAAGCCTATTTCACTCTGAGCCATTTTGTCACGTGTGAAGGAAT